TTCTCCTTTCTTTGATCAAGTAAAACTATACACATCAGACAAGTAATTGACTCAGCACGATTTTTCTACATGCATGAGAGATTTTCTACTAACCTTTAGATTAATGTTGGCCTTTTATTTCTCTCCTCGTGTTGATGAACAGGGTGGATATGCGTTCTAACAGTGTAACTGGGAAACCTATATTGATTCACAAGAAAGGAAGCAAAGTTACCGGTTTACATTGTCATCCTCTTCAACCCGATCTTCTGTTGAGTTGTGGAAATGATCACTTTGTAAGCGTCTTTACTTACCGTTAAGCTGTCTGTTGGTTCTCACACTGTGTGCGCGCTTGATTTGTGAGTACTGATACCACTATTGTTCACAATAACGGCCCAATAACTAACCGATGTGGGTATAAAAGTACCATAACTTCTAATATTACACCATGCCAAGCTTGAGTATAAAGTACCATTTTTTAATCGTGATGATAAGAATCGAGCTGACACTTGCATCTTTGTAGTTTGCTTTTGCTGGTTATTTTCTTCAGTGCATTTGACAGTATCTGTTTCTACCTCAGGCTCGCATATGGGACATGCGAAATCTAGAAGCCGGATCCTCAATTCACGATCTTCCTCACAAGCGTGTCGTTAACTCGGCCTATTTTTCACCACAAACAGGGAGCAAAATACTTACCACCTCTCAAGACAACAGAATTCGTGTATGGGACTCCATTTTCGGCAATTTGGATTCTCCAAGCCGAGAAATCGTGCACAGTCATGACTTCAATCGGCATTTGACCCCCTTTCGAGCAGAATGGGATCCAAAGGTGTGTGATTGTTCCCTTTTTACTATTTGGTGAGATCAGTTCAGTGTGTTTTTTTTTTTATATATATATATATATACGAGGTGGAAAAATGCAATTTTTTACTGTGCAGGACACATCTGAGTCCCTTGTTGTTGTTGGACGTTACATAAGTGAAAACTATGATGGCGTTGCATTGCATCCCATCGACTTTATAGATGTCAGCACAGGGCAGTTAGTTGCCGAGGTTATCGACCCAAATATTACGACTATTACCCCTGTGAATAAGCTGCATCCACGTGATGATGTTTTGGCGTCTGGTAGCTCCAGGTCTGTATACAATAGAATCATTTTTTTTTTTTTTTTTTTTNTTTACATTATAATTTTTCACTTTTTAATTACACTATGGGTCGTGAAGAAAAACAAGTTGTCGGTTGAGTTAATCTCTTTACTGAACTCCTAAAAAGTGCTTTTTATCTCTCTAAAACTATTGTTGCGGTTTCCACAGGTCGATCTTCATCTGGAGGCCTCAGGAGAACATTGAGCTAAAGCGGCCAAGGGACGAAAGTAAGATAATTCTGTGTGGCAAAGGCGAAAAGCCACGCAAAGGGAAGTTGGATGATGAGAGTGGGGATGATTTTGATAATGATAAGTACTCCTCCAAGAGCTACAAGAACAAGACGAAGCCTGCCTTAAGATCCAAGGCACACGTTTCTAAACGCAAATGCTGATATTGAAGATTCGAAGTTTTACAAGAAGACTCCATCTTGCCTTTTTCTGGGACTCCTGCTTTTGGTTTTTGTACTGTGAATAGGAAAAAGAAAAACAGCTTATGTGGTTAACTTTTGACTTGGTTTGAACCTTTTGGCTTTTGGGTACTTGCATAGTTGCTGGTGATTCTTAATTATTAGGCCCCAAGATGAAATTTGCCAACTGTTTTGTTATATTGTTTTCAATTTTTTTAAGTAGCTGGTATCTAACTTGAAAGATTCGACCTGTAAAGTGTGAGTGTGTGACTCGTTTAACAGTGTTTGATAATATTGAGGAAAGTTAAATTGGACTAAATTTAAGTTGAATTTTAAATTAAAAAGCGTGAAAAAATGTTCAACCAATCAAAATCGAATAAAATTTATAACCAATCAAAATTCCAAATGAATTATTAGCAAATATGAAATGTTTGTCGTAAATAAGTTCGATCTAACTATTGTATTTAGAACTAATTACAAATTGGAATAGCTACACACAAGTTACGTTTGGTCCCTTTTGATTGTTCAAGCTTGACTTGTCAACTCGTTTGATATGATTGTTCTAGTTTGACTCATCGGTTCGTTTACTAAATAAGCTTTATTAAATGTTCAAACTCGACTCGTTCTCCAAACGTGTTTGATTAGTTCATTTACTAAATAAGCTTTACGAGCTAATAGAGATGTGCTCACAAAAATCGAGATGGCTATAGTATACATCTAGTTTGGCTCGTCTGCTCATTTCTCCAAATGTGTTTGATTAATCGTTCGAGCGTAGACTGGTTCGTTTACCTAAACTAAAACGAGCCGAGTTCAATTTTTAACTATAAAATCAAGAATAAATTGTCATATCAATGCATTTGATTCTGATGAAAACTGCTCTTCCCCTTTTGGGCAAGGCTCCACCTTTCTCCGCCAATCGCTCTATTCTTCCACGTGTAGCCACCAATCTGTGAAACCATTCGAGCTTTGTCTCCTTCCTCACGCCACCATTTTAATGGCGCCTCACGAGCCCCCAAATCATTGGCGATTGTGATTCCAGGAGAAAAAAGAAAACGAAAAAAAAAATGACCGGAAATCGAAACCCAACATCGTGCCTAGTCGTCGGCAACTACTGCCACGACGTCCTGATGAAAGACGATGCCGTTCTAAACGAATCCCTCGGCGGCGCCGCCGCCTTCATCTCCGCCGTGCTGGACGGCGTCGCCGTCCCCTCCACCTTCGTGTCCAAGGTGGGCCAGGATTTCGCCTACTCCGTCGCCCACCCACCCCTCGTCTCCCCCTCCTCCAAGACAACTCTCTTCCACGCCCATTTTTCGTCGCAAGTCCAGCGCGAGGACCGCGTCCTCAAGCGCGTCCGCGCGTGCGACCCCATCTCCCCATCCGATCTCCCCAACTCGCGGCAGTTCGAGTTCGGCCTGGCCGTCGGCGTGGGTGGCGAGATACTCCCGGAGACGCTGGAGAAAATGCTCGACATTTGCGAAACGGTGCTTGTCGATGTCCAGGCGTTGATTAGGGTTTTTGATGCCGGCGATGGAACAGTGAAGCTCGTGAACCTAAGGGATTCAGGGTTCTATCACCTCCTTCCTAGAATCAGGTTTCTGAAAGCCTCATCGGATGAGGCACCATTTATTGATTTGGACGAGACGAAGAATGCATGCTGTGTGGTGCTGACGAATGGGGAAGACGGGTGCAGGGTTCATTACAGGGATGCGGAGCAGCAGATAGCTCCCTTTCCGACTGTACAGGTGGATCCTACAGGAGCAGGAGATAGCTTTCTGGGCGGGCTTGTTTTCGGGCTGGTGCAGGGCCTTACAGTCCCTGATGCAGCCTTGTTAGGGAACTTTTTTGGGTCGCTTACAGTTTCGCAGCTTGGCCTTCCCAAGTTTGATTTGAGTTTATTGCAGGTTGGTTTTGAAAACAATGCCTTTCTTTCCTTTTTTGCTTCGATTCTTGTTAATTGTGCTGATTTTGGTGTTATCTTTCACATATATTGCTCTTGAAGTTGTTGCATGTCCTATTTATAGTCTTGTAAGATTCAGAATTTTGTATCATTTAGGAGTTAATTGAAGACCGCGAATTGGAGTTTCCTATTGTAGATTGACTAATTGATGATGTTGTAGTTTGTAGATGAATTTGCATGCTCAAGATTGGATGTGTATGATAAATTATTTTCACAGAAGTGAAGTGCTGCAATGCTCTTTCATAGTGACTGTCTTTAGTTCATTGTTTGAGGAAGCCATGTCGGAATTTTTACTGTCATATGCGGTGTTCTCTATGCCTTCTACAGTTTTGCTTTACTTATCGTCTATAGTCGCCAAATTGGGCTGTACTCGGCTTATTTTACCGCTTAAAGTTGAATGCATCACCTTTGGTTCCTCAAGTTTAGGAAAATATGACAGAATGTTGAGTAGTTTGGCTTTTGAATATGACAGAAGAGCATTAACATACCATGAAGATAAAGCAAGTTACTCTCAGCTTGTAGCGCAAAAAAAATAGAAGCCCTTATTTCTTATATTCGCTTGAGAATTTCCAAGCATTTTTCTTTTGTTGGCTACGAAAGCTGATGATGATGATGGTATTAGAACCGACCTGTTTGGTAAATAATGGGTACGGGACATATTCATTTAAATTTAGTGCAAGCATCATGTGATGTCTCTAGACATTGTTTATGCAAATTCTTCAGTCTTCTTACTGTTGCTTCAATCATTTAAAGTAGGTAGTGAAGAGATCTTTCTGCATCAGTGAACAAGACAAAAGGTGTATAAATATTTTTCTTGTTTTCACAATTAATTGAGTGAATGATTTTCTTAAAACCATTGCTATATTCGATGTGTTGGGCAACGCCAAGGTGACGCTTTAACGAATATTCCAAAAATCATGCACTTATACTTCCATCCTGAAACATATTGAGCTCTTACTTAATTCAGTCTCTCTTTCTACTTCTCATAGTTATCGGGCCATTATTTGTATTGAATGGTTCGTTGCATATCCAAAGGTTGTGGTTCCTTTACTCTAATACATACGATTTTCCTTCTAGGCAGTTAAGAATGAGGTGCACAGAAAGAGATTGCAGTTATTTGAGTGCCGTCAAGGGCTAAATGACGAGTTGGTTTTCATAAAGCCTTTAGATCACGACGAATTCCATACGTTACTTGTCAGAGCCAAAACATTAACCACATCTCAGCAAGAATGCCAACTCGAGTTGCCTCCCGGCTCACACAGAGGGGTGGAAAATCACAGCCACCTTCCTTGCAGTGGTCAACCAACATTCTTTTCCGGATAGTAATTATAATTATTTTTTTTTTAAAAAAAGATGAAAACATGGGAAAGAAAGGGAGAAGGGGCAGTTCCTCTATGAGCGCAAGTCCAATATATGTTGATTTCATGAAATTTCTTATGCTGGTGATTTTGTAGGCTTACAATGTAAAGTGTAGTTACAGGGTTTTTTTTTTTTTTTTNACTCGGATCTTTAGTTAATGCCTTGGTGGAATGAGACGAGGATGATGGTAATCGTTTAACTTTGTAGTTTCGAATTTTTTTTCAGGAGAAAAAGTATGATATGGCCTCTTGTGTTTGTCATTGTACCATTGCAATTCTGTGTGTGCTTTTTCCAGGACATGTAGCACATCTGAATTATGAATGTAGCAGCACATTTGATTATGTGCATGTTCTAAGAATAAATGTGGTCCGAACAAAGCAATACAATCTTTAGTTCTCTACAAATGTGCATGTTCTACTTATAAATTTTCAAGAGTGTATTTCCACAATATAAGGTGCTTCTGTAAATGGTCCGAAATAAAAGACTTCAACGATCAAGCTGAGCCGACCGCACTTTATAAGTCTACATTACTAAATATCTAAAGAAACAAATTTTCCCATTATAAATGTTAATATAAAAAACAAAAAAAAAGGTAGCAAAAGATTTACAAGGGGAGTTCACCGCTATCTGCAATACCAACTTTGCTCTTTGGTTCCGCTCTGCTTACCTTTAGCTTCAATCTTGTACACAACATCCATTCCAGACAAAACTTTTCCGAACACAACATGACGACCATCCAACCTGTAGATTAGCATGAAACATCTATATCTATCTATCTATCTATATCTATCTATATCTATATCTATCTATATCTATATCTATATCTATTCTATATCTATACTATTATAAAAGGACGAGTGATTTTGTAAAAATAATGATCTACCTAAAAAACACTTACTTTGACATATTTTTAATGGCAAATTAGTAATATTGTAATATCTATCTTATTTTATATTTTTAATTAACAAATGAACTACCTAAAAAATTCTTACTTTGACTTATTTTTAATGATAAATTAGTAATGTATTAATACTCATCATATCTTATATTTTTAATCAATAATTAATATTTAGTTAAATAAATATAGATACACGAACAAAACATTCTAGATCTCCTAAAAATCAACCTCAACATTCTCATACCATTATTCATCACGAATTTGATTCTTTCACATATCTATCAAAATGCTTCTTTCATATCTCCAAAAAATCAACCCATACAACAAAACTTTGAAAAGATACATAATTCATATTTTGAAAAACAATTTATTTTTAATATAATTTTAATGTAAAATCGTAATTACTTTAATTAATAAAAAAACTACTACATGAAATTAAGTTTTAAAAAAATGCTATATTGCAATAAAAAATACAACGCCAGACATTCCACTGAAAATCGCAACGAATATTCATTGGTATAGTGAATATATACATAATCTAACAAACTAAAAAAGTGGATCAATTCATTTAGCTACTTCCTATTAAGAAAAATACACTCTTACATTTAGAAATTGCACCTTTTATTTATTGAATTGAATTTTTATCCCACAAAAAATACACTCAAATAATAGTTATTTTTATTATTTAATATTAAGAAATTTAACTCAATTGAAAAATTAATAGGTAATTTTGAGATAAAATAATGAGTAATTTTAAAAAAATATATGGACTAAAAAGTTCATGTGTTAAATATATTTTTAATAGAAAAAATGTAGGTATTCCACTGAAAATTGCAATGAATATTTCATTGGTGTAGTGTTCACTGAAAAATTTCATTGTCTATTTCAATAGAGATCAAATTAAATTACATTGAAATTTTTGTTGATTTAATGATTATAATTACCATTATTTATTATTGTGTGAATTTCAGTTAGGATTTGTTTTCGGACCATATTTCAACTGTTGGAAAAATTGTCATTGAAATTTTAAAGAATTCAATATGAGTTTATGGAAAGCTAATTGCAGTGGAGGATACAAAATAATTTCATTATGGGGGCACTATTTAGTTAATAGAAAAAGTATACCATCAAAATAACATAATGCACTACAATTTATAAATATACTTTTCATACTTTGTCATCTTTCTCATCTGTAATACATTTTTAACACATATAAGTTAGAAATATTAAAAAAAAAAAAGCATGATTTTTATTAATTCAATATAAGAAAATCATTGAAAACAATGTACTTTTTAGAATTTTTTTTGAACAAAAACTTTATGTGGAACAATGTAAAGTAAAAAAAATAATAAATTCCATAAATAATATTAAAAGTGTTATAACTGATTAAAATAAATATAAAACTATTAAAACTTGTATTTATCAATATAAACGAGTTGAGTTGTAAACATTTGTTAATGTTTTGTGATTATTAATTCTATGTGTAAGGTTTAGGTGACAGACAATAGTTATTTGTATTTTTATCCATTTAGGTTGGAACTTTTAAAATTAAAAAAAAAAAACTTGATTGTTCTAAAATTAAATAACTTTTTTATCTGCTATTAGTTTTCTAAATATAATAACCAAATACCGTATTACATTTATACAATAGTAAATATTTTCATTATTTAACATTTAATATGTAAGGAATATAACTCAATTAAGAAATTAATAGATAATCTTGATATAAAATAATGAGTGGTTTCTAAAAAAAATTACATGGACTAAAAAGCCATATGTTTAATGTATTTTTAATAGCAAAATTGTAAAGATAATTAATTAATAATAAAAGATACTATATAAAAATTTAATGTTTAAGAATGAATACAATAAAATAAAAAAAAACAACCATAAGGTATTCCACTAAAAATTTCAACGGATATTTCATTGGTATAACTTTAATTAAAAAATTTCATTGGCCCAACAGAGATAATATTAAATTACATTAGAATTTAACTGATTTAGTTATTCCAATTACAATTATTTATTGTTGAATTTTTCATTGGAATCTTTCTTGAATAATATTTCAACCGTTGGAAAACATAGCCGTTGGAATTGTAAAAAATTCAAAGGAATTTTCATTGGAAAACTAATTGCAGTGGCAGATCCAAAATAATTTCTGACAGGGGGCACTATACCATCAAAATAACATAATGCTTTCATAATTATTAAAATTATAATTTTTATAATATGTCATATTTCTCACATGTGATACATTTTTAATACATGAATACAGTCACGACAAGTTAAAATAAATTAATATAAGAAAAACATAATTTTTCTTTCACATAATAAAATCATTGAAAATAATATTTTTTAAAATTTTTATGAGCAAAAAATTTATGTTGTGTATAGTTGACTCGACGATATAATTAATAAAATATAACCTATAATTCTACATACATTAGTTAAAAAAGACATGAAAAAAGTTAGAGAAAAAAATATGTTGCAAAAGAGAAATAAAAACTATCATCAAAATTATGAAAAAGGGTGAAATTATAATTTCTAGATTTATCCTATTTTCTTTAGTTGTAAAACTGTGTTTATGTTATAACTTTAATAAAGTTATGAGCTGAATTGAAGTATTGGTTGAGTCAAAATTATGAAAAATGGTGAATTGAAGCCGGGCAGCATTAGGCGGCAGTGCCGTGCTGTGTGAGTTGATTTGGCGGACTTGCGGTAAGCCTTGCCCGTCGATAGACAAACATGAATGAGCGTCAATGGGGACCTGGGGTAGTAACTTAGTTTGTTAATTGTAATATTGTTAGTTTGTTAAATATAAGATATGGATATCTAATTAATAACTGAAAAATATAAAGGCCATAAAGTAATATAAATTAAAATAATTTCATGTATTATAAATTAAAATTGATATGAAAAATGAATAATGCCTTAACAAAAAATAGTTTTTTTATACCAATTTGATCCTTTTTAAGAATGTTATGAATTAAATTACAAAAGATTGCCAGCGTTAAGTTCAGCAAGGAGCCCAACAACTTGATTCTAGAAACGTAGAAGATAAGTACCAAATTGATATGGTAAAACAAAATCTAAGCAACAGAATAGAAGGAAAGACCCCCAAACGAAGTTCGTATTTGTTAATAAGATACAAATTCACATGATGGAATATATTTAGAATATAAAAAGATCGAAGTTCAGATGCACAACTGCAAATAACGACATAAACTCCTAAACAATGAGATAATTTTAGAGTTAAAGAATTTGTTGAATTTTCGATTTGGCAGGTAGAACACGAAAANAAAAAAAAAAAAAAAAAAGAAAAAATTATATATTCCTTTTTAAATTGCCCTACAATCTTAACATTTACTCATACAGCCCTACCTTAGTGAAGAGGAGCCACATAATTTATTTGGGGACGATCGTGAAATTTTCGCTGCACAGATAGTTGGACTCGTTGGAGATATTGCTTATGGATGGACTTTCCGCTCGCTCGCCTATTTGCTCGCCAAGATGGTCAAATCTTGTTGGATTTGGTGATATTTTAGATTGTATTCGTGTTGGATTCAGAGTGTTCGGAATGTTGAGTATAGATAAATTTCAAAGCTGCATTAGAAAGATGGCAAAGTAAAATTATTTTAAGTATATTATATTTTTACTTTTATAATATGTAAATAAACAAATAAATAAATAATGGTGTAGATAGATAGATATTTGGCATTGCTATTTAGTGTATACTTGGAAATTTGGAATATAAAGTCCTACTTGTGGATACCTCTCACATATATCATCAAACACTTAATGATGTGGGACACGTCACAAGTGATATTCTAACACGCAAGTTCTTATTAGCCCAAGCTCATATATAGAACTGGAGAAGCTCTACTAGAAACAGTCTCCCATAAACGGGTACGTGGGCCCAAGCCCTACTAGAAATAGGCTTCAAGAAACGGATACGTGGGAAAAAACGGGTACGGGTACATGGGGAAAAATGGGTACGTTATCGCACGGTCCACATAGAACCAACTCTAATACCATGTAAGAAACAAGGGTAAAACGGATCTATTTTTCATGTATAAACGATGTGGGACAACTCACAAGTTATATTATAACAATGACATTGAATACACAACTAGTACAGAGCACGTGCCATGCACGGGGTGCACAATATTAAGGCTATTTATTCAGGCTTATAATTATATACATGAATAAAGAAAAATGTACGGGATATATATAGTACGTGACCCGTGCGAAGCAAGAGATATATTTATTTGGAGAATATTATATTATAAGATGCAATATTCAATAAAAGTTTATAATACGCAAGAAAATTGTACAATGTTCAATAAAAGTTTTAAGTGGAGTCTTAAAGTCTCTTGTACATTAAGACTACTGACAAAATAATATTTTAATCAATGAGTTTCCTTTCCTTATAGCCAAATTGTGAATGTAATTTGAGGAGTACAACAAATCGATATATAGTTGACTTGCTTTTTTCATTGTAGTTTTTTTTCTTTTTTTTTTTTATAATAAATTTAAAGATATTCTAAAATATAGCAAAAATTAATTTTTTTTTTTACAATTAGAAATTTTACTAAATATAAACTCTAAATCTATGGTGTTAATCAACGTTTAAGTCTAAAAAATTAGGAATTTTTACCTCTTTTAATCAACGTTTAAGTCTAAAAAACAATAGAGTTATTATAAGTTTTTTTTTTACATCTTTTAAAACATTAAATATGAGCATGTTAGGGCTAGCTTGTAAAATAATTAATATATTATCTCACTAAAACATTTATACTAATAAAAATTTAATTTTAACATATAAATTTATCCCTTGATATAAGAGAAAGTAACAGTTTTACTTATTGTTGTTCACTATATAATATTTAATTATTATTTTATTATATAATAAAAAAGAAATATTGTTAAATAGTGTAGTAGAATTGTTATAAAATTATATGATTTTTTTTTTTTACCATATGGATTTAATATTTTTTTATGATTTGATAATATAAACAAATCTATACTTAACTTTGACAAATAAAACAAATAAATATTTTAGTAAGTATTTAATGTATATACTAAATATGAATATATTTGGTATAATCAAATATCAAATATAATCAAATAAGTCAAAGTGTACATTTTTATTTGGTATTTGATTTTTTTATTATTAAATTTTTTTTATTATACTTACCTTTTTAAAATAAAATAAATAAATAAATCAATTAAATAAATAAAATATCATACTACTAAAATAGTAATAGAATTTAATGCAGTTGACTTTTCTGAATAGTAAATGTAGTAAATAGAATCTCTTTTTTATATGAGTAAAGATTGTATAATACAGAAATAGTAATGCAATAAATGTTGTTGACTTTTCTTTATACTAAATCTGATAAATGGTATACCTTTTAATATAACTATAGATTTCTTTGTTTTATGCAAAATGAAGAACCATAACTATAATAGTCTTAAAAAAAAGAGAACTATCGTAGTCTGCTAAGAAAGTAAGAGAAAAAAAAAATCATAAAACAACCGCTCACCAGTCATCACAATCTGTAACTGAAAGTTACACTAAACCAAAACCCTCATCAATGGCCCACACATGGCGTTTGGATCAGAAAGCAAAGAAGTGCAGTATATGTATATCCTACCCTTTTTCCCCGCTTTAATTACATTCTTATCCGCCATTTTTATTCTTTTTCTCCTCCACCTCGGATGAGCTGCTGAGCGCCCCTTTCAGGAAGAGAGAGTATGGGTACCGGTGCATCGAAGAACCCCGACGGCGGCTCCCATGGCGGCGAGGAGAGAGAAGACCACGCCGGCGGCCAGCTCTACGTCTCTCTCAAGATGGAGAACTATAATCTCAAGGGGGAGCTCATTCCCCACGTCTATGGCTCCGCGCCACTCGTCGGGTCTTGGGACCAATCCAAAGCCGTATGTTTCATCATCAATTGCTCTTATTTTCCTTCAATTTTTTTTTATAATCCATGTTGAAAATTTCCCTTCGTTGGTGAGCTGGGGACGTAATTTTTTGTTTTTTCTCCCACCTCATCTGCTGATGAGGTTGCTGATGTAAATTCTTCAGCTCTCGATGGAAAGGGAATCGACGTCTATCTGGGAATTGAGTTTTGTTGTTCCACCTAACCACGGTAATTATGTCATGTCCTTATTTTGTAGTAGTGTAGACTTCCAGCTTTGACGCTCTCTTCCTATATCTCTTCGAACAGAGACGTTGGATTTCAAGTTCCTGTTAAAGCCCAAGCACAGTAACTCTCCATGTGTAGTGGAGGAGGGTCCGAACAGGCAATTGACTCGGGGTACGTTGCGTGGGGATAGAAGCTGTGCTCTGTTTAAGTTGAGCGGTGATGTTCTCGAGTATGGAGTAGTGATTAAAGCAGATAGGGTATCGCCTTTTGACCTTGCTGCTTGTTGGAGAGCGTATCAGGAGAATTTCCAGCCTTCCACTGTTCGTGGGACACCAGACATCAGTATAAATTCAGCTGTCGAAGCCGCTAATGAGGTAGGTGCAGCAGTTTCCATGATTGTGTGGATCCTTTCTTTGTACTTCTCTTGCTCTGTAGTCTGTAAATAAGAATATCGTTTGGAATGATATTATCAGGTTATGTTGCTGTTGGAATTCTGGTGACCAAGAGGTCCTTTAATATTATTTACCACTTTCTGATGCAGAATGAATCTTCGCCAAGTTTGGAGCTTGATCTTGAGCACTACGTTGTCCCAGCTCCATCAACACCTGCAAATTCAGCTCATGTTTATGCGGCTAACCTGACAGAAACTCCTAGGTCACTGAGTCGTGTAGGGGTATTTTCAAGGACTGATGGCTCTAGTGGTACATTACATTTCCAGAGAGATACTGGTGTTTCTGTTGATCAACCTGATGTACTGGTGCTCTTTATCTTTTGTCATTTTGTTTTCTGTTTTATTCAAATACAATGTGTTTTTT